TGTAGCTCCGTGCATCGAAAAGGTCTCCTCCGTATCTGCCAGAAATTTATAAATAATGGCACAAGATAATGGTACACAGTTTCAAATTATTTATGGAAAAAAGTTTCACGGCCTCGATTTTCATATAAAATTCTTTCTAAATCTGTAAAAAATATGATTCTCTATTTTTTTTTTTTTTTTTTTTTTTTTTTTTTAGAACAGAGGTAGCACAAGCTACATCGTCGTCCGGAAGTTTGGGATTATTTGTGGCCTTTTAAGCGAGCAGCGCTGCACTAAAACAGTACTGGTAAAGGCCATAATTAGGCTGTAGCACGCCTTTTTCGTCAATTTCCTTTTCTTCCATGAATTCTAAATATATACAGAATATATAGCAATCAGAAACTTTTTGATCGCTGCTATATATATTGGATCTTCTCCATGAATATGCTTGGTCCAAATTGTGACCATTTAGGTGGGCAATATTCTACTGTAATGCAGCTAAATGCGATGAAAATCACAACTAGATTACACCATGTCATTTATTCTTTATCTAGTTCTCTTCCATAAATGATTTTTTTTAGAAACTATTTGCATATGTCCCACAAACACCATCATTCCTGACTATGGCCATTTAGGTGGACAATATTCTATTGTAACGCAGTCAAACGCAATAAAAAACCAGAATTAAACTATACCATGTCAGTTATTCTTCATTTAGTTCGCTTTCATAAATGATTTTTCAGAAACTATTTGCATATGTCCCACAAACACCATCATTCCTGACTATGGCCATTTAGGTGGACAATATTCTATTGTAACGCAGTCAAACGCAATAAAAACCACAATTAGACTATACCATGTTATTTATTCTTCATTTAGTTTTCTTTCATAAATGATTTTTCAAAAACTATTTACATATTTCTCACAAACACCATCATTCCTGACTATGGCCATTTAGGTGGACAATATTCTACTATAGCACAGCCAAATGCAATAAAAAGCCAGAATTAAACTATACCATGTCAGTTATTCTTCATTTAGTTCTCTTTCATAAATGATTTTTCAGAAACTATTTGCATATTTCCCACAAACACCATAATTCCAGACTATGGCCAATTAAACGGAACAGCTCAACGCTACAATACAGCGGAATCCAACAAAATCCAAAACTAGACCAACCACGTTTAGTCAGTTGTTTCATTGATTAGGAACATTTTCAATCATTTACTCTTCACCTATCTGTTTCATTAATTATGAACATTTACCTTCAGTGGTTCCAAACGTTCGTTATTTAAATATCACCCACAAATGTGTTCGTCCAGATTGTGGCCGTTTAAATGGACAGCCCAACTCTAATAAGCAGCATACGTGCTACATTATCTACTATTAGTTTAGTTCTCTTTTATAAATTATAAACATTCCTCAGTGATTCCATTTTCGATCGCTGTTCGAATATTTCCCACAAACTACTAGGTTGTCCGAAATGTTTCTTTCGTTTTATAAGGAAATAATAGACGCACAGTGTTTCTCGTTTTATATCAGTTTATTGAATTATGCACGAACATAACAATAGAAATATAACGAAATGGATCATACCTAATTCAATAAAACAATATAAAACAGAAATTGTTGTTCATCTATCATCACCTCATGAAACGAAAGAAACTTTCCGGACAACCTAATATGACCATTCAAGCTCGTAGCTGGCATCTAACAAGAACCAGAACTGGACTGCGCTACGTTATTTATTTCTCCCACGCAATTAGTTCCTTCATAAACTGTAAATATTTTCAGTCATCTGAAACCTCCGACTGATACTCTGCTTATCGAGCACCGAATCGTTCCATCCGCTCGAGTTTCGGAAAAAGCTAAATACAGCGCACACCGCGCGTGTACACGCGTCGAAACACTTCGAAGCTGTGACACACATCCGGAGGAAACGTTGTATCGATCCATCGGATTTGCTTTAATTCCAAAGTGTAAATCACGGAGCAACACGAATCTCGTTATTCCTGAAGATCTACCTAATAGAAAGGTTGCGTCGTTAAATGCAGACCGTGCTTGTGTTACCTGGAAATCGTATCGGTGACAACGTTTAAAGGTAACCGTGGCAGCTTTCGATTCCGGTTACGTTGCAATCTCGCGAAACAGTTCATGCATTATTCGTACTGGATCGTCATACACGTGTCCCGGCGGTTTTATCGATCGCGCCACACGTTCCTCGCCTCAAAATAATTGCGAGCCAAAAGAAGGTTAAGAGACAGAAGGCCTGTATTTTTGCGTATACGTCGGTGATGGGTGGACTGCGGAGTGTCATGCAAATTCGAATCTTTGACAATGTGACGTGGGGGAAAAGCACAGACTCGGTAAAAAATTATATTTTACCTTTCGAGTTTCACGGAAACCTTTGAATATTTGATATTTCGGTGAAATTTTGCCTTTTTCGATTTTGTGTAAATGCATAAAAATTCGTGGTCTAATGAAAAAGATTAAAAATCGACGATGAGTGAACTGCGGAGTTTTTATTCAAATTGCTGTTTTCACCAACTTAATTGCCACTGGAAGCAACAGAGCGGACAAAATGGCCAATTTGCGATTTTTCATAATAAGTTTTTAGATTTCAATCGATGCGTATCTTCCTGCACATGTTTCATTTTCCTTTATTTTGCACAAGCTTTGGATTTGTTGGTAGCATTAAACAAATGGAAACTGTGTAGAACTTTATTTCATCCACTGATGAGCCAACCACCCTAATCCCAACCTAACCTCAACCTATGTAAAAATTTATTTCATCCACTGATTATTATTATAATGATACAATAGTTCGGATATTTCGTACGTTTTTCAATATTGCGTGCATTTTGTGCGTTTTTGAAATTTTAAATCTCCACTAAATTGGTAAAAATCCGCGGTCTACTTATAATCGGACACTAAGCTGATGAATATTAACGCTTTATCGATTGATTGGTCTTTTGTAATGAACAATGGCTTGTCAACGGTCCGTTTTGGCCAAATGAAGGGAAATTTGGATCGTTATCCTCGTACTGTTGTGTATTTTCAATTAATTGAGATTTTACGAGATACAGGAGTTTGCAACAGTGTTGGTATATTATGTCTATTTTAAGGGCTGCTTTCCAGAGATTCAATTAGTGTGATAAAGTTTGGACTGAATTTTCATTACATACTTTTTTATTTCTATAAGATATATTTAAACTAATTAAAAATACCTGTAACTGCGACAAATGTTATAATAAAAAATAGTGTTTATCCCTCTAATAAAAAATCAAATAACAAATATCAAGTAATAAATCAAATGATCCAAATCCTCGTAAAAATATGTAAAAATACATTTGATATCAATTTAATAATCACGTTATCTGCGACAATTTCTAATTTATAATAAATATAACGATTGTTTATGAAAAATAGCGTATTAAACGTAAACCAATTGAAACAGAGTAAACATGGATCAGATTAATTTCTAATCTAGAACACTTCAAACTATCGCAAACACGTCCAAACTAAAGTCACAGGTGAGTTGTAGCAAAGCTAAACTATAGTTGTAAGTATACCAGCACGATCTGGTCAAACACTTTCAGGTCATCCTGTATTCTGAACGACAACGTCGCCCTGGGAATGAACAAAGGCTAGAGAACAGCCCTTTGAAGGAAGGGAGAAGAGGGTTGCTCGTCGCTGGCGTGCAGTTTTCTTCTCTACTCGAATACACGCTAGGACAGGGCTGGCTCTCGTATAGACCCCACTCGACCTGTCGAGGGGTTCCGAGCCAAGTTTCGCTGGACCGTCGTCCGAGATACCAGGGTAGCCCCTTACCGTTCATTTCTTTCTATCTATTCATCGCTCAAGTGCAGAGAATTCACCTTGTCCTCCAATAGAACGCCAGTGAAAAGTTGGAAGTTTGCTATGGATTACACGCTGCTGTCGTTGGTGAATTTCATGCTTTCGCGTGAATCCAGAAATGCGACAATCAGATACGTAAACTGGAAAATATGAAAATTTATGCGCATAGGATCAGGTAGTTTCTGGTAAAAGATCTAGAGAAGTAGAGAAAATAGAGAAGTAGAGGGAGACTGTTATTATATATACAGGGTTGTTGGTAACTGGTGGTACAAGCGGAAAGGGAGTGATTCTACGCGAAAAAAGAAGTCGAAAATATAGAATAAAAATTTTTCGTTCGAGGCTTTGTTTTCGAGAAAATCGACTTTGAATTTTGGCTCGGTACGCGTGCGGTACGTTATAACGGATCTCACTGTAGATCGTTGTCTCGATTGACGTTATTTTTTTAAATTGTTAAATTTTTATTCTATGTTTTCGACTTCTTTTTTCGCGTAGAATCACCCCCTTTCCACTTGTACCACCAGTTACCAACCACCCTGTATATACTGGAACAAATTTGTTCTTTAATGTACTTCACCATAGCTAACAATTCCCCGAGCTTTCGATTTTACGCAGAAACCATCATGCAAAATTATCTGGGCTTTCAAACTCGCTAAAACCAATCCAAATTCAGAGGTACATAAGTATGCAAGATTGCGAGATCTAGAAAGTTGTAGCAGAACTTCTAGCGAAGAATTTCATGAAACGAAGAATTTGTCCTCCAATATATACTTCGTTACAAATAGTAATAACGTTAAACTTGCCACTCTACATGAGGCCTATTAATTCAATATTCTCCACACGTTAAAACCTTCTGAAACTAACTCAAATCGCTTCAAATACGGAAACATTTAAGCGTTAACACGATCTTAAAATACCCGCAAGTCTTTAAAGAAGCGAAATATCATGCGAATACTTGAAGAAACAGGATGCCTAAATCCTCGCGACATTTACGAATCCGCCACTTGCTTGTCGCGCATGCGCGTCACTATTATCCACTCGCGCGCGCTACAATCAGTCGTCTAGTTTCTTTTTCTCATACTGAAACGGATATTCGTAAAGAATACGCGCTCAAACAGTTCCACCACTCGCGTTCGAGAATACACACTAGTGGAAATATCCGTATCCCCACCAGTGTGCGTTTACCCCCACTCGTTGGCCGCGTGCTATGTTACGCGTGGCGTCGACACGAGAGCAGTGAGTCAGTGGTGCGCGGGCCTTCGTGGCGCGAGGACGTGCGCTATGTTGACATTTCCGCTACGTAAACGCGCGTGCTCGTTCGTTTACCTCGTGTGAGTGCGTGTAATAACAGAAAAACTAATTTCATCTCGACTGTTCCTCGATAATCGGACTGGGTTTATCCTTCTGCGTGCTGCTGGACTAATTTTGTTATCTTTTTTTCTTTAATTTTCATTTAGTTTCGCTGGTGTTCTCGAACTTAGTGGAAAGAGTTGGAGCAAGATTGGCAACGTTTCTTCATTTGGCGACGGGTAAGAACTTTTTAATCGTGATTTAGTAGAATGTTTAGACGAAGTTAAAATTAGTTGTACTTAAAATATTCGTCCCATTGGGCGTGTTCTAACACGCTAATGAGCGACCTAGGTAATTTATCACCTTGCAATGTAAAAGTGTGCTACAAGTAGCTTGAATATCATATTTATTTCCACGATTTTATCTCTTTATAATCGACTGGAAGTTTCTCTTTTACCTTTGCATTATTAAACTGAGAAAATGGTCATTTTTGACCCAGTCGTCGGTTTCTTATTTATCCCATTTTGCAAATAAACCAGAAGATGGTCACTGACAACACCGCAGACGAATATGGTACAGCTGAAACCAGTTCTTAGCCAACGTCAGTTTCTTATCCGAGGATCTTCAGAGATTAACAGTGTCTTAAGAGATCATCCGGTGGTTAGAACTCTTAAAGCAATCGTAACGATTACATTAGATTACTACGATAAATATCGTAGAACAATTCTGTTCGCACCAAAAATAATGCTCACCCATCACATTGAATATATTTTCCTTTTTATTCCATTTATTTTTCACTTGCTCCTGGTTTCATTTTTATTCGATTCGTTTGGATTCGATTCGCTGTATTAATAAAATATTCTACGAAACTTTGCGATTGAGCGGAATATTTTCTCCGTCAGTGGACCGTGGCAAACAGAGTGCTTAGAAGAAAAGTTTTCATTCGACCATTCAGCCACAGAGAAAATTCGATTTTGGTCAAACGAAAGCATCTCGCGATTCATTTGACTTTCGACGAATTCGATATTTGTTTGCGCGTTTGCTAAACGCAGGCCAGCTTCCTCTGCTTGTTGTTCTGGCTATCGTGGGCTGTTACAATTTCTGGCCAGCTAGCCGCCTGACATTGACAAATACAATCAGGCAATTGGACATCCTCCAACGATTACCTGGTCGCTATCAATTATTCTTCTACGGGTCTCTGCCGATCAGATCCGCGTCCAGCCAAACGTAAATTTAGGGAAATTTACTTGAGGATTGAGAAATCTTCTCGTCTCTTCTATCGCTGCAAGTATCGTTGTCGTTCAATTTCACGCAACATGAAAATCCTCTTTCCGCTTTACGAAAATCAACATGCTCTGTGTGTTGCTTTCTGATCGCCATTTCCCAGAAGTATTTAATTTTCATACACATACGTGTCTTTTATCATCGCAATCATCGACCATCAGACTTGTGACACGAGATTTATTTCTCACAAATTTATGCTTCGTTTTTTCGTAAACGTTCGAGCACTTTGGTAATTTTATATCGAACGTATGATAGTCGTATCAGCGGAATAATTTTTTCTCGCGTGTTTCTCAACAATTGACAATGTTATAATTGTTAGCTTTAATCCATCGGATGAACTAATCATTTGCCAGGAAGAAACAGCTGCGACCCACATAGTAAATTTATTTTCAAGATTAATTTCGCACGAAAGAAACTCCTTTTATTTCAATGTTTCACGACTCGCTGCATATCAAATATCCCTGATAATATTTATCGCGCGTGTTTCCATACATTGCTTGCATAAATGTATATTTCCCACACGTTCGATATACATAAATATCCACGACCTGCCAACGACATCTGCATTTTCTTCCATACAATACGCAACTTGCTTCTCAAACTTCTCTCAACTCGTTCGAACAACGCCAGCCCCATCGAAACTTCTCTGCTAATAGCCGAAAACATCTTCAGCTTCCATATCATTTCTCTCACGATCAAAGCAACCACTTTTAGCCAGTTAATAGCACACAAACATAACGTTTGCTTCGAACGATTGCTTCAAACTGCTCCGATGAAAAATATCTGTTTTGCATGTCGATAAACAGATTTCTCTTGAAATTCAAAATATATCGTAGGAAAGGGAAAATCTTGTTGGAAGATCTGCGTGTAAAAAGCACACGGTACACAAACATACGCAAACACCAGTTTCCTACGAACATGGCATGGGGATAATCTCATATTGGTTGCCTTGATCGTAAACGCCAAGGTTTCTTCAAACGAGCCATACAACTAGATCAAACACGGGCGCAGCCTCGTCTCTTTAGATTAACCTCGAGTGAAAAAACTACTTGCCATTATCCGCAGCAGATACCGAACCTCGTTCCACTGCTTCTTTTTTATCAAATTCTAGCCGGTTCTCTGCGACGTGAAAAAACCTCGATTCTTCGATGAACATGGGTTTGTAAGGGATCGGTGAATAATATTGGGTTGGCAACCAAGTGATTGCGGATATTGTCATTAGGTGGTATTGACAAAATCCGCAATCACTTGGTTGCCAAACCAATATCGATGGTACAATTTTGTCAGAAACGTTGTCAAACCAGTTCAAACTTCTTGAGACTAGACACGATCGATGTTATCGGCGGTATAGTAATCGTGGTTCTATCGTCAGGGGAATGATCGTACGTGAAAGAAAATGTGCGGGGCGTATGATAAAGTTCGTTCGCACGAGGTTTGACGGTGTTTGATGAGGTTGAACTTGGAAATTTCTCGGGTACGTTCGAAATATCGACCGGCTACGAATGAGTATGTTATCTGTCGATGCAGGGGATTATTTTACGCGTGAAAATAAGTGAAAAACCTAGAATACAGCTTTTCTATCTTTAAAAAGAGAAAAAGATAGATTTGGAGGTGTTTACCGAACAATTTGTAAATTTCATTTTCTCCGAAACGAAGTATCTTCTGAAAAAATTGTATTCCACACTTTTTACTTGTTTTTACAGATAGAACGATTCTCCGTTGGTTTTTATCCGCTGTCGATTAATTCGAAATTAGCAAATTCGAGGTACATTTGTCAAATTTTTGAAACTCCATCGTCTCAGAAACGTAACGTCGTACGAACAGATTTTATTCCACGTTTTCTACAGGCTTTTTTCACGCAGAATCACCTCTGTGTCGAGTATATCACGCTTACCAAGACACCCTGTACACACTGTTACATAAATAACAATGAAATATTTTTTAAATCGACCGAAGGAAAACAAAGATAATATACAGCTTCAATTTTTTGCGATATTTCGAAATGGTGGACAGGGCGTTTCAACCAAAAAAAAAAAAAAGTATTAGTACTCCGGGGCTAGAGATGAATCAATGAAAACGCGACTCTCCGTCCTTTGCTTTTCCTATTATCTGGAAAATAGAGAGATCCCTTTGGCCAGCCATTTTAATTCCACCTGTTTGGACCGTATCCAATTAAATAGCGGCGTAGCCACTAAAAAAACCGCCTATTCCGCTGAATCGATGAATTCCGCCAGCGGGTTAGATCGCGGTCAAAGCTGATCTACGTGACAATCGGTACGTAGAAGGCTTCTCCGGAGTTGTTGGCAGCCGGGATAAATTAATATTTCGAAGTGGAGCGGTCAGGAAGACCGACAAGTGTTTTCAGTACCGCAAATATACTGTAGCACATTTTCCCTTTGGTTAATTTAGACTCCTGCTTAGCGATGACGAACACGTCAGAAGGTAGAATAATAAATATAATAGGTGGATGATAGTCTTAATTTTGAAACGTGTTTTTTTGATAGATAAATAAGACACAAGTGAAAAAGAATGGTATTGGGTTGGCAACTAAGTGATTGCGGGTTTTGCCATTGGGTGGAAATGACAAAATGAAAAAATGACATTTGTTCGGTTAGAACCTCGTTTCTGGGAAAACTTGTCTCGTCGACTTGGGAAACTTGTCAAGTGCGCGTGAATTTGGCTAATCCTTGGTTCCACTCGAACACCGTTGAACGATCGACAGAAAGTTACCGTAGGTTGAAGAAGAAATTGAAAATGCAGAATGTAAGGTTTTTCGTTCGAAGCCCTGTGTTGCAGGAAATTTGGAAATTTCTATGGTATGGAAAAACGTTGTTCTTGAAGAAATTAAGTTTCACCATCGTACGGTCTAAGTACCCTGAGACCTCAAAAAAGAAAAAAGCCACATCGTGGGTCAAAAGTAGTTTACCTCGAACGTTAGCTGTCCCTCGAAATTGACGGAGAAGTTATGAGAAACTGGAATGCAAACTCGCGAAGAATGCAGCCAGCCGAGCGTAGCGATCACCTCAATCATCTCTCAATTAATCCAAACTATTAATGGTATTTAGGCTCGACAATTTCTCAGTATGCTTATTCCATTCTCGCATTGCTGGAAAACAATTATTAAAAATCGTTGCTACAAACCAGCCGTTTATCTGGCAAATTAATTTGGCGAAGCGAAACATGTTGAAAAATAAAGGTTATGTTGGGTTGGCAACTAAGTGATTGCGGATTTTGCCTTTAGATGGTACTGACAAAACCCGCAATCACTTAGTTGCCAATAACCCAATATTTCCATCGAAAAGATTAAACAGAGATTTGTTTCGCCTACTAAAAATCTACAACGTGTATTCTACCTTTGATGATATACAGAGTGGTTGACGAAAGCATTGAAAAGCCTTTTGAAATAACGTTTTCAAAAAATTGCATCAAACAATGACGATATTTTTCGAGAGGCTGCAAGGATCGTTGACTAGATGAGGCGCAAACAAAATTTCGAAACAAATGCAATACTTGTCAGTCGCGAAGAAAAGAGTAAAGGTCGCTTTTTCCAATTTTCCCATCCGGGTTTGCAGTGAAAACTTCATCGAAATCGGTTAACGTTGCTACGAGCTACAAACTGTTGAAAACGATAAAAACCACGATTTTCTACGACTTTCGACCCACAACCGTAACAAGTCCACGTTTTTGTCCATTTTTTCCATGTTGCTTGTCTCTACGTCGATCGATTTCCATGAGATTTTTAATATTTTTCTAGCTGACATAATCTTTGAAAATGTGTCGTTTCAATTTTCGAAACTCATTTTGCACGTCGCCTGAGATCGTAAAACAGGTATTTAACCACTTCGACCTGTGTCGATTGACCAAGTTTCTACAACTTGGAAACCCGAGAAGAACCGAGTCGCCAGGTCTTGCTGTAACCCTGCAATATTCACTGTGTTTCCTTTTTCTTCTTGGG